TGGAAGAAAGAACCCTGGGGGAGCAGGGGAGAACTCTGCTGGAAGCAGAGCTGCAAGCAGTGAGTGCCAACCGGGAGTCTGCAAACGCAGAATGGTCCAGCATGACTCACAGACTCCTCAAGCAGCAGCTTGTGACCTTGGCTAAGGAGCTGGACTTTTCCAAGTATAGTTTCCTAAACCCTCTGAAATGAGGGTTGCAAAGCAACTTAACCTTCCTCACAGGGTGCATGTGAAATAATAGATGGAAAAGCCCTTAGAAAAGAAAAGTGCCACTATGGAGGAATGCAGGGGAGGATGTGGGGTGTGAGGGAAGGAGTGGGGAAAACGCACAGGTGGCGTGGGCAGAGAAGCACCTTGGAGATCCCAACCTGAGTCCCCCGTAGCAGCAGGGACAGTTCAGGGACTCCCCTTCCAGCCTTGTCCCTTTCTCCAACCTGGCCTCCTTCAAGCATTCCCACAGCCTCTTGAGCTTCCTGTGGTAGGCAGCAAAAGGCTGGACTAAGAGATCTGGAGTGGTTAGGACCTCTTCCCATCTCAGCTGCACCCCAGGCCACACCCTTCTCTCCCTACATCTTCCTCATCACATTGCCTTCGAGAAGGCATGAGTGTGCTCCAGAGGATCAGGGGCTTTGGGGGTTCTAGTCTTGATTCTTTCTGACATCCTGTGCATCCTTGGCTGCAGACCCTCATCCCAGGGAGCTGGCTTACTCTCACCCATCTCCCTTCATAGCTAATAAGGCTTTATAAGCACTTATTCAGCCTTGAATCTGGGGTTTCTTGGTTTCCTGAAGTTCAGGATTGATTTCACTCTCCCTCAGACAGGGGTGGGTAGGTGGGTGGGGGGAAGGTCTCTGAAGGTGGGTTGGGCTGCAAACTTTGGCAGCATAGGGCATAAAGAAGCTGGCAGTGGAAGGCTGGGAGGGCCTTCTCCTCTCCTCCCAGCCCTGTCCACTGCCCACTGGCTCCAGGATGCTACTTGTCCATGCTTGTTCTGAGCTGCCTCATTCTTGCCTCACAGCAAGGCTTGGGCAGCTGGCTGAGCTCTCTTGGTAGCTGGTGGCTTTGTTCTGGGATTCAGTATACCTCCCTTTGGGAGAGGTTGGTCTTGACGGAGCACACTCTCTTCCCTTCTACCAGGCAGAAGGGTCAGAAGTGAACAACATCAATGAGGCCATTCAGGCTCACCGGGGCCCAATGTTCTCTCAGATTCCTGTCAGAGATGGGGATGGGGGTAAAGCCAGTGATGCCACTCCTTCTTCCCTGCCCAAGCCAGAGGCCAGGAGTTAAGGGAGGAGCCCTGGGGTTTAGTAACTGTTGTTCCAGGCAAGCGCCTCTCTACCCCGTGGTAGTCTGAGCTGAAGTTATAGCTTCTGGCATCTTCTTCTTTCCAAGTTTTGACTCATGGTTCCCGAATGGCTGGGTGAAGGGTTCTCTCCTGGGGAGGGGAGCCAACTCTGTCACAACCTCCCCCTAGCCCTCCATCTCTGTTCCCCTTATACTCCCTCTGCCATTCCTGCTGCCCTAGCTCTCAAGAAGGAAAGGAGTTGGAACTGGAGGGGAGCCAGGGGGGAACTGGTGGAACATTTATCCAGGGCTCTGGATGCCCTGGCTCTAAGATCCCTCCTGAGCTGGGCTACAGTTAAAGCCCCCTTCCCTGAATCCTTTCCTACCCTGACAGTAGGGGTTAGGTGTCAGGGTAGGGGGAGTCCAAGCTGGCTCTCTGCAGACTTAAAGATGCAGTCTCAGTGCTCAGAATGAAAGAGAGTCAAATGTGGCTCCAGGAATGGGCACCATTAACAGAGACCCGGGGTATGGCTGTTTCCTACCTCCCTACCAATGCAACCTTTATTTTCTAGAACCCAGGGAGCCAAGCCCCAACCTGATTGGATGAGCAGAGTGAGACATTCTTTGAGAGTGGCAGGGAAGGGACTGATGCTGCTTTTACTAGGGATGGGGCCAGGATTCCAGGGCCCAGGCCAAGGCGTAGCCAGGATGGATAGTTAGAACTGGAGCCTGAAAATTCCCTTACCTCATAATGGAAAGAACTCGTCATCCCTGAGCATCTCTGGACACAGGGAGGCCCAGGTTGGCTAAGAAAAGATGATGGGGGTGGATCCCAGGTTTTTCTGGGATGAATCAAGCTGGGGCTTCCTAAATGAAGTCAGGAGTTGAGACTTGGAGTGGCTGTGATGGGGAGGGTCTCAGTGATCTAGAGGGGAGGGATAGAAAGATAGGGGAGGGTTAGCACAGTGGCATATGCCTGTAATCCCAGTTACTTGGGAGACTGAGGAAAGAAGATCGATTTTTTTTTATTAGAGCTTTATGGTTATACATAGTAGTAGGGTTCATCCCAACAAACTCATACATACATGGAACAAAATATATTTTATTAAGGAGGATTCACTGTTTTTGTTCTTTCTTTCTCAGCTTCTAAACCTTTGATTCTCTTTCTCCACTTCTTTCAGAAAAAAAAAGAAAAAGAAACATTAATAACTAGTTCCTTTAACCTTTTTTCTCTCTCTGGCTATGGCCCATCTGTACCCTACCTCCCATAATTCTTCACACTTTCATTTCCATCATATTTTTCAAAATCTAATGTTTCTCATTTCCTAATTTCCCTTTTGTTTTGGTTCACTCCCATTTGGATTGTGACTCCACCATTCTGGTGAATTTCCACTGGCTAAGATCACTAACGGTTTCCTAAGTTTTCTCTGACTTCACTTCTTAGTTCTTTTTTTTTCTTTTTCAAAAATCAAATATATTTATTTTTTACAGACAATAAATAATTAGATAATGAAAGAAAAAAGTGCTACTTGCAATAGTTTAAAATGAATACAAAATAAATTTAGAGGAATTAAACAAAAGGGGTGAAGGATTTGTAGAGGATGGAAATTTTGAGGCCAGCCTGGGCAACTTAGCAAAACCCTGTCTGGAAATAAAATTGAAAAAGGCTGGGAATGTAGCTCATTCTGGGTTTAATCCCATGAACCAAAAATAAACAAACAAATAAAACACAGATAGGGAAGGGCAAGAAAGGAGACAGAGAAGGCAGGATCGGGCGGTGGGATCAGGGGAGGTAATGGATTTCTCTCTGCCACTCTTTGAGTGACTACCCTCTGCCCCAGTGTCTGGGGAACCCTATTCAGTGATTCCTATCTTTACTTCCTATTTGGGCTTGCATGAGCTTCCCAAAATAGCTTTCTTCCAAGGAGTCCCCATGGGTGGATAATCCTGAATGGAGGATTATCCAACTGCAGACAGTGTGTTGACCCTCTTGGGTTTCTTAAGAGGTCTATGTGGTATTAGTGATATATCATATGCTCCCTCCTTTTCCCAACTTGGTTTCCCCCCTGACCCCTGTATCCTACCAAGAAGTTCTTTTATTAACTTTGAACACACCTGGTTTATCTCTGCATTCTGCTCACCCTCTGAGAGAAAAGACAGATTGCCAAGAAGGTAACAGTTCCCCTGACCCCTTCTTGGTCCTAGGGAGGCTGGTTGGGCCAGCAAGTTGGAGACTGCTCATTGATAACTAGTGTCTGGGCACTGCCCTCTCTCCCTCCTCCCTGCTGGTCCTCCCTGGAGGCTCCCTCTCATCCTCCACTCTTCCAGTTCCATCATCCTTCATTCATATGCCTTGGCTTCCCTAACAGTTGAACTCTGGTATCAGGAGCTGGGAGGCAGGAGGGGAGAGAGGAAGTTGGCATTCAGCCCAATCAGAGCACCCCCATCACAGGGGAGGTAAAGGGGGTGGAGAAAAGCTCAACACCCCTCCAATTCTTATTCCTTACTGCTAGTTCACACATTAAAAAAAAAAAAAGAACAATATGGAGCCAGGCACAGTGGCGTGTGTTGTAATTATAGCTGTTCAGGAGGCTGAGGCAGGAGGATTGCAAATTAGAGACCAACCTGGGCAACTTAGTGAGACCCTGTCTCAAAATAAAAAAAAAATAATAATAATAAAGGGATGGGGATGTAGCTTAGTGGTAGAGTGCTCCTGGGTTCAATCCCCAGTTCCACAAAAATAAATAAGTATATAAACAGACAAACAAATCAAATACAATAAGAAAGAGATTGGGGCATTCATAAAATGGACTTTATTGCCCAGTGATGTTCTGGGATCTCCTCTTTGCCCCCAGCTCTGCAGTCACGCACCCCTGCCTAGAGGAGACCACCTTTCCCCCAAGGGAAAGGGCTCAGGGAACACATCAGTGTATAAATATAGAGGAAAGAGCAGAAAGATGGGAGTCTTTGGGAAAGGAAGTAGGGGACCCTGAGCCAAGGGATCCCCAATAGAGGGCACAGGGAAAGGAGACCAGGAACAAGAGAGGCAAGAAGAAAGAGGGAGTTTTTCAGTAGAGCAGAGGGAGCAGAGAGGAGGAGCCCACAGGAGCCTCAATCAGGTGGTATGTACCCTGTCTTTCTGTCCTCACCTCCAGTTTGGTCCACGGTCCACTCACTCCTCTTTGAACCCTCTCTCCCAGCCCCAGGTAGGGGTTGCTGCTGCCTGGATACTCCAGTTGTTTCGCATCTTCCTCGCCTTTGTACGTGAACTTGCACCAAGGCCCATCCCTCTTTTTTGCCCCAACTCCTCCTCATTCCCTAAGTATCAGTTCACACATCTCTATAGTGACACCTCTGAGGTGACCCAGAGCCAGGCCCAGGCTCCCACTTTCATGGTGGCTGTCTGCACCTATCCTTGAGTTAGCATAGACCACCTGGGGTTATGCTCTGTTCTGTCAGCCCCAATCCCAACCATAGACCTGGGAGCTTTGCATTCTAGGAGTCTAGCACAATGCAGGCACAGACGAGGCATGTAAAAATCCAGGTACCAAGTATACTATTGGTACGGGGAAAGAGAGAGAGAGAGAGAGAGAGAGAGAGAGAGAGAGAGAGAGAGATATCAGGTATTTAGGGGAGACAGGAAAGAGGGTGGGGTGAGGGTGGAACAGAAAGGAAGAGGGAGAGCATAGGACTGAGATTGTGGGTGCTTCTGCTTATCAGACCACCGTGCTGAGTGTGGAGGAGTCCTCAGAGCGTACTTGCAGCACAGGGACTCTTTTGAGAGGGCGCCGGGTCTCATCCTGGTTCTGCCACACATAGTGGACCAGATAAGCCACCACCAGTGTCAGCCAGCCCCCCATGGTGACCAGCAGGGCCACGTCAGTGCTCCTCCGAGCCCCTCCCCGCCCTGTCCCACACAGCTCTTTTTCCCCAGCCAGCAGCAGAAACTCCTGCCCTACAAGGTCTGGTCGGGCTCCTGGGCCGCACACGATGCCTGTCCCGGTGCCTGAGGCCAGCCTCACCTGCCTGAGCACTTCCTGGAGGGCACAGTCACAGCGCCATGGGTTGGCAGACAGGTTCACTTGGATCTGCAGCCCCACAAAGGCCTCCACAGGCACCGAGGCCAACTGGTTGGCAGAGAGGTCGAGGTGGCGTAGAGTGCCTGCCAGACCCTGGAAAGCAGCCCCTGAGAGGTGGGCAAGGGCATTATGGGACAGATCCAGCTCTTCCAGGATGGACAGGTGCTGGAAGGCACCAGCTGGCAGTGATGACAGCTGGTTGGCATCCAGGAAGAGCTTGCGGGTGTCATTGGGGATGCCCGTGGGCACAGCACTCAAGCCTGCCTGGCTGCAGCGGAATGTCCTCTCACCAGCTTCCTGTGCCACGTAGCAGCCCTGGGGAGGTGACCGGAGGCTGGGCACAGGACCCCGTGTACCTATCACCAGTAGGAGGGGCAGGAGGCGAACAGCTGGTGGGAGCATGGCCACAGATTGGCATAGTCCTGGAGTGGAGTAGGATCTGGGGAAGAGAAGATCACATGAAGGAAGAGCAAAGAAAATTCCATTCCCACTGCCAGCTCTTTCTTCCTGATGTCCCTCTGTGGAGTGTCTTTGGATTGGGGCCATTTGGAAGCTCTCTCAGCCTGGGTGACTTTCTTACTTCCTCCTTGGGTTCTCTCTTGATCTAGGACATCTCAATAGGGCTCTTTGGATAGAGACTTAGGATTTGTTGATTCTGGAAGGGTTAATCTATGAGGTCTCTTGGTCCAAGGCCCTGTTGGTATGAGTCTGGGGGTTTCTAAGTTTCTTCTTCTGCCTGGGTATTGATTTCTTTGTTGGAATAACGACTTTTCTCCTACCTACCTGGGCGACAGCTAGGTGAGCCCGGCAGGCGTCAGAAGATCTGGTTGGCATTCATGTGAAGGAGGCAAGGAGGATAGGTTAATGATAGGACTTCAGAGCATGCAGCTAGACTCGATTTGACTAGGTAAGCTAAGCTCCATGACTACTCTGTTGCCCATCAAACCCTTTTCCAGAAGCATCCACCCCTCTACTCAGCTCTGTTTGTCCTCCCTCCGCCTCTCCCTCCTCCTCCCTGCCTCTCACCCCTGTTGATGGCAGAGTCCTTCCCTGTGCTGTCCTCTTCCCTGCTGCTGGGCTTGGAGACCTGCTCCCTCCTTCAGAAGACCTGTTTGCTCATAGCAGCTGGAAGCTGGGGCCTGGGGCCCAAGTGTATTGGGTTTCCTTGCATGTGACTCTGGGCCACAGGTGTCAGATACCTGAGCCATGACCTGGCCAGGTGATGCCAAGGGAGAGCAGATCCTGGACCTTGATGAACTCAGCTGTGGGAGACCAGGTCCCAAGTCCACTCCCTGCCTTGGGTTCCCCCCTCCCAAGTCCTTATCATTGCCATCTCCCATTAATTCTCTCCCAGGCAGTGCTAAGGTTACCTCCCAGAACCTTGACTTGAGCCTGGCCAGACAGAAGGACTGCTTGCTTGGCAGTCTCGGAGGTCAGAAGTGGGAGGGCCCCATCTCACATCCATTGCCTCCAGCAACCTGTATCCTCCAACTCCATTCCTGTCACTGCTCTTCTCTACTCTCCACACCTTGTGGACATTCTTCCACAGTCTTTCATGGTAAGCAAACCTCCCTATACCTCTTCAGAGAACCTAAACTGGCTTCTCACATTGCTAACCCTCTTGCCTGCCAGGGGGCGCTGTGATTAAATTTTCTTTTGTTCTTGGGGTGGGTTGATGGTCTGGTCCCTCTAGGAATTGGAAGGATGTTTTTTTTTGGAGGGGGGGCGGTACTGGGGATTGAATCCAGGGCTTCCCTAAGTTGTCCAGCCTGGCCTCCAACTTGAAATGCTCCCGCCTCAGCCTCCAGAGTATCTGAGATTACAGGCAGAAACCACAATGTCAGATGGAAAGGATTATTATTATTTTTTTTTTGGTACCCAGGATTGAACTCAGGGGTACTAAACCACTGAACCACATCCTCAGCTCTATTTTGTATTTTATTTAGAGACAGGCTCTCACTGAGGTGCTTAGCGCCTCGCTCTTGCTGAGGCTGGCTTTGAACTTGACATCCTCCTACCTCCACCTGCTGAGCTGCTGGGATTACAGGCGTGTGCCACCGAGGCTGGAAGGGGTTCTTAAAGCTGCCTGAAGTCTGATCAAGTGGCCCAGGAGGTTTCCTGCTAACTTTATGTTCTGGATTGTAACAGAATCAAGTTTTCTCCATGTGCTGGGGCCCTGGCCTCCCAGATTGGCACTTTGGGAAGGAAGGATTCAAAGCCAGAAGACATGTTTTGTGTGTGCACTGGGCACAGTATCTCCAAGTCCTCATGTTTGCCTTTGCAAATGAGGATACTGCTGCAGGGTGAGAGGATCCACCAGGTGAATTGGACATGAGGGAGCTCTGTGAAGCACTGTGCAGATGCTAATTGTTACAATCACTGTTTTCCAGAACACACTATGGTCTGTCTTCATGATTTTAGCATCCAGGACAAGTTTTCCCTCTCCACCTCATCTCTTGTGTTCTGCAGGGGCAGGAGTGACAGGAGCTCATGGAGATGAATATGTATGTGAATGACCCATCAAATCCCTTAGCTCATGGTGATTTTTCCTTCTGTAATTCCCATGACCTTCAAGTTCAACTATATTGACTCTCTTGGCCACTCCACAGCCTCACTTTGTGTGGTACCATTCTACCCTCTCCATCTCCAGTTTGCTGCTGGATTTGGAACCTCATGGAGCTCAAAGGAAGGGACCATATGGTTGAATCCTCTTAGGTTGCAGATAGGTAAAGTGAGACCCAGAATGTGACCAGAGTCTCACAGTAAGTCAGTGGCCTTATAACTTGACCATAGTTAAGATTCCTGATTCATTTTCCAACCACTTCCCATTCCACTGGCACCTCTCTTACCTCTATGCTGCACTTGCTAATACCCTGTGTCTTTGTCTTTTGGTCCCTGATGATACCTGCAGGAACCTTGACTCTCCCACTAGGTCTGAAAGGTGGAAGAGAACCGTAGTGTGGGGTGTCACAAAGACTAGAAAGGGGGAGTCTGCTCAAAGGAAGATGAAATCAGACGCTGTGCAGACCTTTGAAGAGGAAAACTTGGTTGGATTTTGTTAAGAGATTATGGGTGACCAGGATCATACACTGTGCAAAATGAAAATATGGGGCCCTTTGTTCAAAAACTTAAGTATTTCAAGAGAGTGTCAGCAGAGTGTGGGGCCTTCTGAGCACAGGACAGGGCCTCTTGTCACTTCGTAGGTTGCCTGCTCATGAATGAAGTTAGCCCTGTGGGTTAACTTTTGCTTTTCTGTATGTGTCTTTTAAATTTACCATACACCTGTTTTACATATTGAGATCAAATTGCATAAACACCAGTTTGTTTTGCCATTTAAAAATTTTAACACTATACTTTTAGCATTTCCATGTTGTTAAAAACTTTTTATAAGCCTCACTTTTGTGCTTCATCTTTCTAACAGATAGTATATTAATATGCTAATATTTTGAATACTGTTTCACTTGAATTATATTGCTAATGTAAATGTTTTACATTTTAAATCACCCAATTAAAAAAATATATATATCAAAGGCTGGATTTGATGGTGCATGCCTAAATCCCAGCAGGAGGCTGAAGCCAGAGAATGACAAGTTCAAAGCCAGCCTTAGCAACTTATTGAGACCCTATCTCACAACAAAAACAAAAACAAAAACCCCAAAGGGGATGGGGATGTGGCTCAGTGGCTAAGTACCTCTGGGTTCAATCCCTGGTACCTCGCCTCCCAAATATATCAAAGAATATAAAATGAATGACTTACATTATTGTGTTTTTTACTCATACGAGAATGTAAAGGTAAAAAAAAAAAAAAAAAGAAGCTGTAATTCAGGTATTTTCAGATTAAGAGACTTTTCCATTTCTCTTCAGCAGTCCCAAAACCATTTGCAATGTCATTAGAAGTTAACATAATAAAACTAATAATTTAGTTTTATTCTGATGAGTTCTCAGTAGAAAGCCTGAAAAGTCAAGAACTACCTGAAAAGTAATAGCTGTTTTGTGTGTGGAATGACTTGCATTCCAGAGTAGTACTTTATTTTGTACATTTTATCAGGGCATTATTAGGCATTCAGCAATCCGCTTGACTCTGCCTGGTTCATTTCTCCAAGTGGAATGGCAGACCCATAAAGAAACAGTTATTTTTCAATAATTTCTACTTATCAAGGCATGAGGAGTGTCCAGCTTCTCCCGAGTTCTGTGGCTGTTTGTGGGTAGGACCTACCATTCCACCTATTTCAGGTTAGGATTCTCTTTCATTGGGGAATCTCCTGCATGAACTTGGTCTTGTTCCATTGTCAGGAGTATCCCCCCTTCTCTGGACACAATATGGTTTCAGAGGTTCAGTCCATTATCGATCCACTGCATTGCTCTGGCTCTCAGGTGAGGCAGAACATCATGGCAGAAAGGTATGACAGAGGAAAGCTTCTAAATATGGATCAATATTCCAAGAATTAGAAACAACTTTTCTGCTTCAATGCTTCTTCCATGCTGGTCTGAGCTCTCTTCATCTTTGACCTGGTCTTCTCTGGGCTCAGGGTGAGGCAGAACATTATGGGTGAATGGTGTAGTGGAGGAAAGCAACTCAAGACATGGAAACCAGGAAGGAGAGAGAGAGAGAGAGAGAGAGAGAGAGAGAGAGAGAGAGAGAGACCCTGTGGGTTAACTTGGAATGAACAGTTTCAGAAGCATGATGGGGTCAGAATAGATGGTAGAATACCACATTATGTCACCTCTGGGGATCTACTTATCCCTGACTCATTGTTATGGAATCAATGGAGGCATCTCTCAGGCTCATATTCATCTAAGGAATCAGATACAAATACATTTTCTACATTTGGGCAGGAGAAGCAAACATTTTCTCTGTAAGGTTTCTTGTTAGTTAAGCTGGGCACACTGCCACTGAATACTTGGGTGTCCATTTTGGGATTGTGGCTAAATGTGGAATAGGAAGCTGTGAAACCCTTCCCCTCCTGCTGCTTTCTCATACTGAGCAGAGGGGTTAGCTAAGGTATAACAGTAGACCCTGGTCATTGATGGAGAGTTATCTCCTTCTCAGACTAAGACAGCTGCCAGGCGAGAGTGGGACTGGGCTACCCAGCACAGCAGCTGGGGGAGAGGCAGGCAATCTATGCACATAGAAGGGGCTACCTGGGGCTGTGGTTATGGTTCATTAAAGGAGGCTGAGTGCAGGGCTCAAAAAAAAGGGGAGATCTGAAGGGAGGCAGGACCCATAGTTATCATGGTACACACTGAAGGCTGGGGCTTGGCAGAAATTTTTCTCTGACATTCATTCTTTTGTTCACTCATTCAGTGAGGAGTTCTTGAGAGCCCTGTGTTCCAAGTACTGTGCTAGTTGAAGAAGATACAGACGTGTTCTCAAGGTGCTGGTCTGTAGCAGAGGTTCTTGAAACTCATCCTGCATCTTAGAATCACTTATG